CTTGTGGTCCTGGTGGTCCTGGTGGCCGAGGTGGTCCTGGTGGTCCTTGTGGTCCTGGAGGACCAGCAGGAGGATTAGTTGCTCCATACGATTCATCACATGGTTGATTATACCATTGATCATACGACATAATGCTACTTTCGTGAAGAGATTAAATTAAAGAAACCAAGTTTATTTCTCACGATTGATCGATATTTGTCTAGTGTAATGAAAAGTAAATGAGGCGAGTATATAAACAGAAAAAAAAAGAGAAATGACTAGTCGATGTATAACTTTAGGGAGCCCCCCCTGTTTTGTTTTCGTCTGGCAATCGTTATGTATAAATCGATTCATTGATGTGTGACCGTAGAGCACCCCCTTTACTTTACTGTGATGTTCGTTCTGTGTGAATCGATTTTTCAATTGGTTGATTGAGTCAAATATTTTTTTTTTTATAAAAGATGTGTCACATTATTTTCTTGATGACTATTACGTAGGTTGCATGTGATTTGATAAAAAGGTAGTTGTGAAAAATAATTTGTATATATTGTGTATTTGTCAAGAACAGGGAAAATAACCACCACTTTAGGCTTTACATTTTGCCTTTGAGGATTCATCTATTTGAAGAGAAATATTTATCAAATAGATCGACCTTCATGCTACTCGTCGAAGTTGAAATATTACACGATAATATATCTTCCTTGATTGATATAGATTGCAAATTAGAATTTCTTTTTTTTCTATTATTGCTTCTATATTCACACAATGACTATAACATAATTTTTTATTCGATGTTTGCATTTCGCTCGACTGTAGAAAAAAGAATCTGCATCATAATCGAGTGTTTTGTTTTCATTCACTTCGTTTTTCAGTGTACTGCATAGAAAACTTGTACTGACATCTTTACATTCAGTACTAGGGATGTTAACTTATCTTTACTTTTATAAGAATATATATATATATATGTATATATAAATACAATCTCTAGATTTATAGAATAACGATAAATAAATCTTATATTTATAACATAAATAAAAGATTTTTTAGTGTTTATTTTATATGTATTTTATAAGTATAAGTGATGGATGAGCCAAAATAAATGGTCAGGTTTTTTACTTTATTTTTTCATCATCTAATATGTTTCATTAAAAAACAAACTATAACACAAGATACGATCTGAAAAGCTTTAAAAACTGAAACAGAAAACTCATTGCAAAATACACTCTTGGTTTTCAATATAGACAATATTATGTGCGATCAAATTTCACTTCCGGAAAAAAGTTTTTTTTTTTGTTAGTGTGGCTGTAATAAGAAGACCTACACCTACACACTCATCCCATAAGATATTAACTTAAATATTCCATGAATGAAAGTTGATGACCATCACTAAATAGTTCTGAAACATGAAATTTTAACTTTTTTAGAAATCTAGATGCACTGGAATTAAATTACCCTACCTTTTTTTTTTCATTGTGTCTTCTTTATTTATTAACTTACTATATATATATATGTATATCGAGAAAGCTTGGAATAAGTTGCATCATACATTATTTTTATTCTTAACAATCAAACTAGTTCAAAGCAAGATTTGAATGATTGTGTGTTTTCTGTTCCTCCAAAGCTGCACACTCTCCAACACATACCGACAGCAATACATTGCGACAGACATATACTTAAAAAAGCATTAGAATAAAACCATAATGAGAGCGATTTAGTTTTATTATGGTATTTATACCAGAGATGGAACCGATTCAGTTACGTTTGGTTGGGTTGGAGTGAATCGATATAATTTTTTAATTTGAATTCAATAGATTTTTTTTTAGTAAGACATAACAAGAAAAAAAGAACATGATGGTACAACAATTAGATGTTGCTTATAATTCAGATATTATTTCACATACTTTTGATTGACTTTAACTGGTAAGCAAGTTATAATGTAGTGTGATGCTTCAATAAATAATCTTCTTCATTCTTTGTTTTTTTTTGTGAGTGTTCATTATTTGTTGTTGTTATTATATAAAAGAATCTTTGGTTATAAGGCACAACTACTTTTATTAGCATAACAAGCTTCATTTTTGCTAAGCTCGACTCGATTCGGTTCGATTTGGAAAAAATGTCAACTAATCCCATCTCTAACTTACACACGGTGAATACTACATTGAATATTTCTTTTGATACGAATCGTAGCTTCATTAAACTATTTTCGATAGAATTTGAACAGTATGAATACAAATAATGATGAAACAAATGAAGTAAAGTAATTTTCAAGATATAGACAAGATTTTTGAGCTGATTTCATATATTTAGACATAAGAGAAATGATTAAACAAGACATAGTAATGATTATCAGAGCTAAAGAACTCAATTATCGATGTTGATGTTGACAAACTTTTTGTCAAAGATGTATTCTGCATGATTTTTGGTAAGTTTTAAATTTTTGTCTAGCTATTAAAATAATTAAGCATTGAATACAAATTAAATTAATCGAAAGAAACAGAAAAAAAAGAATCAACAAATATATTTTGAAGATAATTATTTTTTCACAGCTTGTTTACTTTTTATTTTATTGAAGTTTACTCCGACTTCATCAGTTAATACTCGTTCAATACTTACATACATATACACAGTTGCTCGTCAGAAGTCCCTGGACATGTCAAAATCGAGGTTAAGCTGAACCATTTTCAATGAAATTTTTACCAGAGATAGAGCTCGAAAAACTGTGTTCGTAAGCACTAACCCGAGCTCGATCGACTGAGATAGGATGGAGTTCGGTTTGAAACATTGCTTTCAACTTTTATGACTTTAATCTCAACTTTCAAAGAATTTTATCAATTTTTTCTATTTTTCAATTTAAATCAGATTGTTTCTCGCATCTTTGGGGTAAGTTTTGATTTAATTTTATGAAAATTGCGTAGAAAAATGCGAAAAACAACCCAGCTTGAATTGATGAATGGAAAAAATTGATAAAATTCTTTGAAAGTTGAGATCAAGGTCACAAAAGTTGAAAGCAATGTTTCAAACCGAACTCTATCCGATCTCAGTCGATCGAGCTCGTGTTAGTGCTTGCGAACAGTTTTTCAAGCTCTATCTCTGGTAAAAATTTCATTGAAAACGGTTCAGTTTTACCTGGATTTTGACATGTTCAGGGACTTCTGACGGGTTCTGTATATATATATATATAACCAATCTCTAATAGTCAAAACCGTTTGTAATTAAAAATCTATGACTAGATAAAATTGATTAATAAAAAAAAAATTATTGATAATTGTCAACATTTGACAAAGAAGAAAAAATAAATATTTGATAGTAAATATTATCATCATGGCAATGACCATTTTTTAGACAATAATTGTAATTTGTACAATTTGTAAATAGGATTATAATCAAATGTAAAATAATTTGCATGTCTTTATACCAATAATTATACATCGGTCACCAGAATAACACGAATTTGAGCGATATAATATTCTTTTCAAATAATAAAGTTATGTGAATTTTTCTAGAACACAAATACATATCGATCAATAGTTAACAACACCAATCCAATACAAATCGAATCTAATGAACAATTACATGAACTATTTGATTGTATGTAACATTTCAAATAAGTCACTGACAAAAGTATTTTTTGAATTGGGAAAAGTGTATATATTTTTTATGCAGATGATATAATTTTTTGATATAAGTAAAAGTTCTTGTATGGAAACATTTACTTGTAATGAAAGACGATGTACTTAATTAAAATTAATATGATTGTAATATTGTGATCGTATTAAATCAATACGATAGATATTGAATTTTTCTTTGACAATTACGTACTGAAATGTAATTAAATTGTTCAGAAGAATGAATATTTTTATTATCGTCAACAAACATAATATTTTTTTTTACTATTCAATTGTTCAAAATTGTCATATGAAACTAATTCGTTGGCTTTAATATTCATATGAAGAATCGAAATAAACTTGTGAACATAGACAATAGTTTTCATTTGAATCATTAACATAAATTACAATTCCACACTGACAACTTGAAGTTACTATTGGATCTATTACTTGCTGATTTGAAATGGCAACAGATTGATTAGAATAAATTGTTTTCATAGATGCTGTTGAGATGTAATCACATACGAGATTGTTAGTCTCAATAGAAGGATAGTTATGATAATTTTTCAATGAGAAAACAGATAGTTTTATCATTCCGAAGACTTTTTCATAGATAAGTCAAAGTTAAATTTGAACTATATACAAATTATATTGAAGATGAAAGAAATAAAAAATTCATTAAAATCAATTTAAGAGCTTTTTTACACCATGAACCTTCATTATCACTCGACTCGCAATCGTTGGTCTTTGAATCACATACAGAATCCAACAACACATATCTTGTTTTATTTAAATAACGGTACTGTTTGGGACGATTTACTCCTAAATATAGTTCACAACAATTTCGTTCACCATAACTACCTATACAAACTATTTCAGTAATTCGTGATAGAGGTATGCAAATTAAGGTGTAATTCAATGGTGATATACAAAGATGATGATTTGACTGGTATGGATTGTACGAACAGTTAGTTCAATCCGTTTTATTCGTATCGTTAAGTCCATCAATCATTTCATGCATGGAAATACTATTGCAAAGTATTGAAAATAATCTTGGACTATTTATTCGGTACATTAAGAACAATATCATTTCTAAGACTATAATGAAATGTTCTGTGATTAACCCTATTTATTTGTTTTCGGACATGCATCGAAAGCAATAATCAACTTCGAATAAAGAGTTTGGTGAGAATGTTATAATCAAAATAGTGCTAAAAAATTAGTAAAAATATGTTTATTCGAGAATTTTCTTTTCTGATTTATCGTATGAACAAATGTACTTTTTTAAAAACTGTTAATATCATCTGAAGATATTTTTAATAGGCTATTTAATCATGACAAAGAAACAAAGTTTTGTCGCTTTTTTAAGAAAGCTATTCTCATTGGTAGAAGTTACATATTGATGAACATGATTCTGTATGGGAAATTCTTTATAATTCATTTTATTGCCAATGAAAATTTTTGCTACGATTTTATCATGAAAATTTGAGACAAATCAAACGTCTCAATGAAGAGTTATAAAGGCAGACAATTTTCAAATCATGAG